CCTTCCATCCGCCTTCTCCCGCCCACAACCCTTTTTCTCACGCAGTTTTTCTCGCCCCGCCCCTCAGCCCTGCGTAGCGTCACGTCCCGCCCGGGGCCGCTCTGGGCCTCTGGAGGACTCGTCGTCTGTTTCCGGGGGTGCGCGGCGGCGGTGGGCGGGGCTGGCTGGAGGCGCGGGGCGTGCTCTGGGTGCGCCGCTCGGGCTGCTTGGGGTCGCGAGTGTTTTGGAGGTTAGGCTGCCGGAGATGTCGGGCCTCCTGTCAAGGTGAGTGAGTGACCCTGCGGGAGGCAGCCTCGTCAGCTGCGCTCCCCGAGAGGAGAACGTGTCGGGCCTGTGGCCCGCCTGGCCTCGAAGTTTCCAGTCGCCCTCGGGGAGCGCCGTCCCGGCCGCGGCGCCCCGGCCCGCCCCCGTGCTTCGCCCTGACTCCTTCTAGCACCTTCTTTGAAGCGGAGCCTTCTCTCTCTGCCGCTCTGGATCTCATTCAGCCTTGACCTCGCAGGATTTTCTTTCTTTCTGACCCCAGTTTCTTTCCTTTCTTAACAGCTGAGTATAATTTGGGGGACACGCGGGGCTTCGGCCTGGAGGGATTTTGTGGCAGGTTTCATGCCCCTAACAAACGCTCGTGCTCCTGGTGTGACTTTATTGTCCAGCTCTGTCCGATGGTTCCAAGCGTTAAAACAGGTGTCTGGAAGTTCTCTAACGTGGGTTGGTGCATTATGTGTGCCAACATTGTGTTTAATTTTTGAGAGTGCTGTTTTGTGCAGCCTGAGCTAGCTGAGGGAACCTGGGAGCAGGCGTTCCACAAGTTAGGCTCCGTCCCCAGTCGTGAGGCCGCCTGCCTGCCCCCGTGCATTCCCAGGCTGTGACCACTTTACGGGAGAACCGTCTTATTTCCTCAACAACTGCAATTCTTGGGTTCTTCAGCCTTTGAGTTTGCCTGGGGGGTGGGGGATGGGGAGTGTTTCTTTCACTTAAGACTAGCTATTGCTTTGTAACATTGTATCCACAGACCTGATTCTCAATAAATATTTGAAGGGAACTCGAAGAATTGCTTTCTTTTTTAATACCTTGGAATTAGTTGTCTGTGTGTCTCCAAGCAGCGGACAGAGATTTGGAAGATATAAGACAATCAGTACGTGTCATCATTGCTGCTAATTTTTTTAAAATTGTGGGCAAATTCCAAATTATTTGAGAAACAAATTGGGAAGTCACCTTTATTAACAATGTTAACTGACTTGGGAAATAATTTGTCATTCCTAGAGTTCAGGTTGGCTTTCTTCCACCCCACATTTCAAGGCGCAGACGGGTTAGGTGAATTCTGGACTAGGTTTAGGGCTTTGATTAGAGATGCCTTTTCCAGGGCCAGCCCTGGTGTGGACATTAGGCTAGCAAAGCAGAGACTGGAGCCTGAGGTCACTCAGCCTACAGCAGTCTCACCCACAAATGTATTCAGAAATAGGGTGCCACAGAGCCTGGCTGGCGTGGCTCAGTGATTGAACATCGGCCCATGCATGCACCAAGAGGTGGCAGGTTCAATTCCAATCAGGGCACATGCCCAGGTTGCGGGCTTGGTCCCCAGTAGGGATCGTGCAAGAGGCAGCCGATCGATGTTTCTCTCGATGTTTCCATCTAGCTCCCTTCCTCTCTCTAAAAATCAGTAAAAACATATTTTATAAAATAAAAAAAAAAAGAAAGAAGGTGCCACAGAGTGTGTTTCTGAGAGGAAATAAGCTCTCTGTGCCGTGGTTGATGTTTTTGGGTAATCCCTCTTGAGCTCCAGCCATCGTGGGTTCCTTGGCACCTCTTGATTTCCTTCTACCACTCTCCACTACTTATCTAGCCTTAGTGCCATTTCAGCCCTTGGACATTTGTTGTTGTTGTTGTTCCCAATATAAAGCACCTTTCTCTGAAGATAACTCTTCACATTTTTATTTCTAACCTTGATTTATCCTGAGCTCTAGTGCTAGTCAGAACCACCTGTGTGTCTCACTTTGCAACCTTTACTTTGCATCTGCACTTCAGATAACTGGCACTACCATTCTTCTAGATTCCTAAAGTTATCTGAGTTCTTCCACACTCCCAATCCTTATCTCTTCCTGCCGATTAGCATTTAAGCAGTCCTCTCAAATTTGTCACTAGTTCATCTTTTTCAGAAACTTGATTCGTGGACTTAAACCTCTTCCTGTTTTGAATCTGCTAATGACTGGCTTGTTAATCTTGCCAAGGTTTCCTTTGGTGCCTACCATTCCTCTGCTCAGAAGCTCAGAGGTGCACTCCTGTCTTTGGAATTAACTAAAAAGTTCCCAGCCCGAGTTTCAAGATTTGGCCCCAATTTACTTCATGAATTCCACAATACTTACTGTTATGTTCTTGTTTCTGGGAGGCACTGTTCTAGGTACTACTAATAACTCAATAAAATCATTCCTCTCTGTTCCCACAGCTGCTGTTCTTCATCAGTCCATGCTTGAATTACTTTGTCTTGTACTTGGGTTTTTGCCCTGTTCACGTTTCACTTTCTACCTTGCCTACTTCTGCTGCAATAAGCTTCATTAAACACTATTTTTATTATATTATCTTCTTAAATAGTTTCATGAAAAGTGGTTTAATTCTGTGAGCCCATGTGTGTTTCACTGGATAATTGTAAAAATCTCCTAGATACGGTTCTCATCCTTCCAAGACAATTGTGTTTAATTTTAGCATGTGTCAGAATCACCTGAAGCGTTTGTTGAACAGAGATTTCAGTCCCTCCACAGTTTCTGATTCAGTAGTTCTGGGTGGGGCCAAGAATTTGCATTTCTCCCAGGTTTTCAGGGGATGTTGATGGTGCTAGTCAAGGAACCGCTCTTTGAGAACTACTGCCCCAAGTAGTTAATTTGACCATTACCTGAAGGAAATAAACCTGATTAAGTGAATTAGTAAACTAGTAGTAAATATCTAACAGTATAGTAATATTTTACAAACTGTCATCTATACAGAAACATCACACAGCCAATAAAAATATTTATTTAAAAATATTTAAGTAATATGTGATATGAAAAAATAGACATGACAGAAGTTACAAAAAGAAAGCAGGCTACCCAACAATAAGTACAATACATTTCTAGATTTGTTGTTTTTAAAGTGTTGGGAATTGTCTCTATCCAGGTGATGGTTATAGGGCTATGCACATGTAAGAGTTCACTAAGCTACCGATGTCAGAATAGCACATTTAAGAACTTCATATTTAAATAAGAAAGTAAAAGCAGCATGGGAGAGGTGAAGGGGAACGAGGAGGGCTTCTGGGATGCTGGTACTGTCTTGTTTTTTAATCTAGGTGCCAGTGAAATGAATATGTTCAGTTTGTGAAAACTCATCAAATTGTATCTTTGTGCTTTGGGCCTTTTTTAAAAAGTCCCCCAAAAGACATCACTCTTGCCGTTGAGAAACTCAGAGTACAGTGAGAGAAATGCATATAAAAATACTGTAGTTAGAATACACTGGGATACATGCTAGCCAAGAAGTGAGATTTAAGATGTATGGAGATTATGTCAAAGCTGGAATCAGTAGCAGCAGCTTCATAAGGACTGTGCACATGTGTAGATAGATATACTATTTGATGGAACTGAAAACGTGCCAGTTTATTAATTTTTCAAGGCTACTTTGAGATTATTTGAGGGGCAGTAGTTTAGGTGAGGCATTTGAAAGAAAGGGCAGTATGACTATCATTACCACTTGTAAGCATGTCTTAGATGACTGAATTTATAAAAATATTTGTAATTCAACTTACTTTACAGAATTTATATTACTTTCCTTTTACATTACATTTAACTTAATCAATACTACTAAAAAAAGGGGTGGGGGAAAGCACTAATTTGTTAATTGGCATATTTTGAACATGCTTTGCCACAAGTAAAATATACTTGTCTAGTGACTTCACAACTTGTATGCACATTAGAATCACCTGGAGACTTGCAAACATTCCACGTTCCAGCTCACATCCAAGACCAATTAAATCATAAACTCTGGAAGTGGGACACAGGCATAGGTATTTTGTTTGAAGTGCCCCCAGATGATTCCAAAACACAGATAAGTTGTCATTAAAATCAATACTTCATTAAAATTAAAGTGAAGTGACAGATCCTAGCTTATTTAGGGATGGCTTTTAAATAGGGTTTTCATATAGACGTTTAAAATCTGAACTATACTTACCCTGTAGCACCATTTCTAAAAATTTTTTAAACTTAATTTTATCATTTTGGAAGTTGTTTTAAGTAGCAAAAAATGTAAGTGCTAATTCTTTAAATCAGAAAACTTTGGATTCCTTAGTGAGATAATTACCTAAATGCCAGCTCAAGGTTAAAGACCGTGCTGCCACATTGGCAAGTGTTATGTAACAGTTTAAATACTGTCTGCAACAGAGAGAGTAAACAGCGAGAAACAGATCTAGCTTCAAGGCCCAGTTTTATTTGTGAGACAGAATTTTATTTCACTCAGAGGAAGTTAATAAAAACTGACCAAATGCAAGTGTAACTCACTAAGCACTGCTTTCATAGGTCACAAAAATCTCTGGACCAAAACAGAAAACAAGCCAAACTACAGCTAAGTTCCTTTGCCAGATTTTATGTAATCATATTACTTCTGTTTGTTCCAATTATTACTCATATTTGAGTATTCAGAGTCCCCAATTAATTCTGAATTTATGGTCTTCTCTTTCCTTCCTGTTGGCTTCAAAATTGTCATCTGGTGGAGGGGAAGAAGACATACACATCCCAGATTTTCATCACTCAACCTTGGGCATCTCCAAAACCTTGGATCCATGACTGTAGTACGAAGGAGAAAATGGTAAATGCCTTGAGAGACATGCTGCTGGGTCACATGTCCCACAGTATCCCATACTCTCCACTTTGTTCCACAAAAGAGTGTGTGTTGATACCCTTTGGGAATCTGTAAGTTGAGATCGACATTGTCCTCTAGAGTCATTGGAACAAGGTCTGTTTTCCACACTTCTTGTTAATGGTTGAGTGATGCCTTACTTCTTGAGCTCCAGTTGTGTCACCCAATTTCTTTTTTTGGGAAGATACCTGGGACTTGCTCCAGGTGGTCTACTTTCTGTCCATCCTATGGTTGGCCCTGGTCCAATGGGTACTCTGAAGTCACCACACTCACAGCCTTGAGATAGGGACCAATGAGATAGTTGTAGGTTAGGATCTTGCCTTGTGGCTTTGGCAAAGTTCACAATTGCAGGGTCACTTACTTTTTGTTCCTTTTGGTATTTCTAGCCCTCACAGTTCTAACGTAAGTTACAAAAAGCAAACAAAACTAAATTGCAGGTCAGGGGTTCCTTCTACGATGCCTGTTTTCCTCTGTTCAGTATGTATTTGGGAATTAAATTTGACCTAGGTTAGAAAAGTGAAGGAGCCAAGACTAACTCAAATTCCTCACTGAATTCCTCCTTTCTGGTGAATGAGTCAATATTCTAGTGGCGATGAAATGTTTGCTGCTGGACACCTGGGTGTATGTGGATACAGAGAAACATTTTTCTAAATCAATTTAACAGTGGGTCCTAGTGGATGAGTTAAATCATGGTTTCATTTAAAAGTAAGGTACTTTCTCTACCATTGCAATTATACAGACTAATTTCACTGTTCTAAACATCCCATGTATTCCACTTATTCTTCCCTTTTTCTGGCAATCACTGATCTTTGTTTTGTTTTTTTAATTTTTATTGATTTTTTTTTTTTAGACTCTGAGAGTGGAAGGGAGAGGAAGAGAGAGAGAAACATCAATATGAGAGCAGAATGTTGATTGGCTGCCTCCTGCACACCTCTTACTGTGGATCGAGCCCGCCACCTGGGCATGTGCCCTGATCAGGAATCGAACCCGCAACCTTTTGTTGCATGGGACAATGCCCAACCAACTGAGCCACACAAACCAGGGGAACCATTGATTTTTTTTATTGTCTCCATAGTCTCATACAGTACATATCCTTTTCAGAAAGGCTTCTTTCACTTAACAGTATGAATTTAAGTTTCCTTCGTGTCTTTTTGTGGAATGATAGCTGGTCTTTTTATTGCTGCATAATACTCTACTTTTTAGATATACCACAGTCTCTTTATTCTTTCATCTATTAAAGGATCCCTTGGTTACATCCATGTTTAGGTTATTATGAATAAAGCTACCATAAACTTTCAGGTGCCAGTTTCATTGTGGAAATAAGTTTTCAACTCATTTGGGTAAATATCAGGGAGTGCAATTGCTGGGTCATATAGTAGAGTATGTTTAGTTTTGTAAGAAACTGCCAAACTGTCTTACAAAGTGGCTGTACTATTTGTTTCTACCAGCAATGAATGAGAGTTAAACCTTTTTTTTTCTTTTTTCTTTTGAATTTATTGGTGTGACATTGTTTAATAAAATTACATGTTTCAGGTGTACAATTCTATAATACATTATCTGTATATTGTACCGTGTGTTCACCACCTCAAGTCAAGACTCCCTTTATCACCATTTATCCTCCATACCTTCTTCTATCTAAACCTTTTTTTTTAAAAAGACTTTTTGTTCTATTACATTTTAGAAGAGGCTAAAGCAAAGGGGAATATAGTATTTATACATTGAAACGTGACTACTCATATTACTATGTTCATTGTGTTCTACATTTGTTTCAGGTTTAATTCATTCAAAAGGACTAATATCATACTGCAACATTTGGTAAGTTTGGACTTTGTTTTGCTGGCATTATTAGATTATGATGTATAACTTAAAATGTCATTGTTTGGGAAGTAGAGAAATACTGGCAGGTGTCTTTGACCTTGGTATACCATGGTCCCCAATTTTATAATCAGTACTTGTTGTATATCTCCATCAGAGCTCTTGGGTGACCCAGGTGCATTGTCAATGAGCAGTAATATTTTAAAATAAATCTTTTTTTCTGAGCAGTAGATCTCAACAGTGGGCTTAAAATATTCAGTAAACCATGTTGTATCACTCTCATGTCAATGTTTCTCTCCCTCTCCATTCCTTTCTCTCTAAAAATCAATTAAAAAAAATCTTTAAAAAAAATTCTGGGCAAGATCACTGCTGAAAATTTAGAAATAAAGCGTAGTACAATGAGGAAAATGAAAATAACCAATGGTCCTACCTAATCAAGTCTACTCACTAAACAGTTTGATATATTTCTTTCTGACTTTTATCTCCTGTATATTACCTGTTTTTTACCCTTCTTTTTCAATTAACATTGTATTATGAAACTTATATACAATCATATTCAAACATGTTTACCAGTAGCTGTACAGTATTGTCATGAGTATCATAACTAAATTATGAGTACCATAAATTAAATGTGTATTTTTGATATTATAAATAATTGTGGCAAACATTCTTTGAGATACTTTTTTTATTAAAAAAATATCTTTATTGATTTCAGAGAGAGGAAGGGAAAGAGAGATAGAAACATCAATAATGAGAGTCATTGATTGGCTGCCTCCTGCACGCCCCCTACTGGGAATCAAGCCCACAACCTGAGCATGTACCCTGACTGGGAGTCGAACCTTGATCTCCTAGATCATAGGTCCATGTTCAACCGCTGAGCCATGCTGGCCGGGCAAGACACTCTTGAGTAAACCAAATATTCATTATGCTTATGGTAGAAAATTTGAAAAACATATAAAATCACAAAGAAGGTGACCCCAAATCATTGTTTATAATTTATATATATAGTGCCACTTTTTTCTGTTTATGTGTGCATGTTTTAACACATTATATTATAGTATAACTATTTCCCTAGATTTCTGCTTATTTTTTTAGTATGAATTTCTAAAGTAAGAACATTTAAAAGATTCTTCATACACTTTGCCAAATTGCTTTCCATTTATACTTTCCCCTGTAAATGCTTTTACTTTGTAAGGTTATTTGTTATCAGTTTTGTAACTACTGCAGTTGTGTTTTTTGACATAAGTTGTATTGCCCTATATTCTGGATTATATATGTATTTAGAACTATTCTCCTCTAGCTGGTCAGCAAACTTGTCAGATGGGTTTCTTTAACATTACAGAAAATGAAACAACATTTGAAAGTCTTGCTTCTTTTGTGATTTTTGTGTATAGTTTTCTTTTGCGAAAAAATTTTTTTTATTACCAGTAAGGTAAGAAAATGAAAAATATATTTTTCTAAGTCATATAACTCAGTATCTTTTAAACCTAACTTATCACTTTAAAAAATTATTTAAAATATGGTTTCAAATACGTAGTAAATACATATGATGCAAAAGTTCAAAGGGGCCATACAGTAAAAAGTCTTTCCACCCTTCTCTCTCAGGTGCCCAATTCTCTTTCCTGGAAGCAACCATTTTAGCAGTGTCTTGTGTATTCATCTAGAGATACAGTCTTTACATAAATTTGTATGCATACATTTACACGGTGGGGAGCATGTCTGCATTGATTGTTCCATAACAGCATATGGAAAGGTAGCTGTCTCTTTCCCTCTCCCTCCCT